GAATCTTTTACCACTGATTTCTATAGGCATATGACCACCTCACTGGTCTATACATGGAATTGTTTTTCAAAATAGGCAAAAAAGGCAGTTCTAAAATGGTCAGTATGCGGCTGCCAAGAACTAGTCAATGAATCATATTTGCAGTTGTGAGAGTTCATTGTTCTTCAGCTCTGAATCTGCCCCTTTCCCCTAAACTGTGGCAATTTGTTAATGATAATGGATAGATGATTTTTCACGTTTCGTTGTTCTAGAGGCAGCTTGCACATTCCACTTGGTATTTAAAGAATGGTTAGAAAACCAGAAAATTTAGTGTAGAATGTTACATGTAGACCCTCTACATCATAACCTTTCCTCAGTAAAAGCCTTTTTTTCTTTTGCATTAATGCTAAGTGCTGACGTCTATCCCTCAAAAGATTACTTACGTTCACCTCATGAATGTTTTTAAAAAATATATTCCCCAGAATGGTTGGGAGTGTGAAATCCAACCTAATATAGAGAACACAGTACCAATGTCCCACTGTAACTATAAAAATTTTCTGTTGGTGTTCTTGCCTTCCTGCTGCTCCTCTACAATCACAATATTGCTATGGTTATGCGTTACAACTCATTCATGTTTTGTCCCCTGTACTAGAACACGCATCTGTGGGATTTTTCCATAGGACATACACCTGTTGGACTCAATGATCTTAAAGGTCTTTTCCAACCTAAATGATTCTATGATTCTGTACATCATTACACCAGCAGTATAACGTCAAGGTAACCTCTGGAAAAGGATTTGATGGGACAGAACTTGAAAAAATTAGTTCAAGTCAATGTTTCCCACTGCCACAGCATTCCTGATTGGTACCTACACATTTATTTGGCAGTGAGTTTTTACACAAAGGTGAACATCTGTAATATTTGGAAATTGGGTTTGTCCTTTAAAAGATGTGAAAGGAAAGATGGAAGAAAAAGAGATGGAAAGAGCTATACAGAACCAATGCATAATCAAAACAAAAATTATCCAGGCCCTGTAAGCTGAGATTATCAGCAGTGCAGAAGGTCAAGAGAAAAAAATTGAGTTTGTGTCCGGGAAAACGGAATGCAAAAGAAAGGGGAAAGGAGCCACATCTGAAGAAGGATTTTGTGACTGCTTAAGTACTGTGAACAGCACAGTAACTATTTGTCATCCTGGAGTGTGTTCTTTTAAATGCCTCCAACTTGTACTATATTATGTTGCTTGTAACTGTGTTCAAACACCATACTTCAGGCCTGATCCTGCTCTCAAAAGAAACTAGTAACAAAGACCTCAGTGCAAATAGCTCTTTCACCAATGCACAGGTGCATGTATTTGGGAAGATGTCTGCCTGCAGTGTGGAAAAATAATAAATCATGCAAGTGTATTAAGTTTTACTTTCGATTTTTAGTATACAGATTTGGCTAGCTAAAAATTAGAATATTAGCTGCCTGTATAGCTATACTCTAGGTCTTGGATTTTATTAATAAAAACACACAGTAAGTGATTTAAACCCAATATTAAAAGCTGTGCTTCAAATTCTAATTGCATATTGGGGCAAGAATCGGTCTTAACAAATGACCTGGTAATAAGGCAACGCAATTATAAAAGTTAAATATTATAAATAATATGGCCAAAGCCTTACTATTTTATAGAGGCATATTCAGTTACAATCTGATTCTAAGATTAGAGAGATATTTACATTAATCCCTAAAAATACCTGCATAGTTTTATGGGTAAGCCTTTACATTGTGGAATTCCTTTTGCAAGCACAAGCAGGAGAACAGAGCAGCGGAAGTGTAGGAATGAAGGACAGGTGCAACCAGCTACGGACGGGGGAAGTGGCAGGGCACGGCAGGACTGCCGCGAAGGCGCGCACTCCGTCGGGCACACAGCTTCTCCCCACTTCCTCACATTTTCGGGTGGCAGCGTGGGAGTTTGAGAGAGGCCTGCATTCCCAGCCTTTCTTTTAGGGGAGTAGAAATTACTTGAGTCTTAGGTTCGGAGGGGGTAGAAGGGAGGGAACTCTGTGGGTATTAAAGCTCTTCTAGTCAATAATAAACTAATTAATTTTGGTATTTAACTAGGTTAGGTTTGAGTCGGATCAGCTTTCCAAACCAGCTCACAAGACGCCTCCGCAAACAGGGTTACACACAGTTTGA